CTTCCTGTGTTTTCCTTCACTAAACAATTTCATCGATGTCACCCACCACCTACAGGCCCATAATTTCCAAATATATACAGGTGTCTCAAAAGTATATACACACTTTAACAGCTGATAGCTCCACTTTGACAATGAAATGTATTTTAATAAACAGTCTTTATAATTTTTCAAAGTGTGCATATACATGTTTGGGGACACCTTATATTATGCCCAAACCTCTCCTCCGAGTTCCAGATACAAATAGCTCCCTGCTGAGGTGACATTTCTACCTGAAAGCCTCAGAAGCCCCTCAAAATTGTGTGTGTCCCATTCACTTGGTCATTTTCTGGTGTTCTCTCTCAACATTTCAATAAAAAGTGATGCTTCTCCTCTCTTCTCCCTGGCTTCAGTGCTGTGGTAGTTCTATCTCTCACACCGGCTTTCATTACAACCCTCATATCACAAATTCACTGCCCATCAAGTTTACTTATGTCATAAAGTAACTCTGCACATTATGTTTACTAGTTCAGTAAATAAACATTTATAGAGTTTTAAGTTATATAGTTCCTAATACACTGCTGGTAGGAATGCAGGCTGGTGCAGCCATTATGGAAAACAGTATGTTGCTTCCTAAAAAATTAAATATGGATCTGCCATTTGATCTAGCGATCCCACTCCTAGGAATAGATCCAATTAGAAGGAATATATGCACCCCTACGTTCACAGCAGTGCTAAGCTCAGGAAACAGCCCTAGTGCCAATCAGTAGATGAATAAAAAAGCTATGGTACTTTTAGACCATGGAATACCATGCAGCAGTGAAAACGAAGGATCTGTTACCTTTGAGACAGCATGGAAGGATCTGGAGAATATTTTGCTAAGCGAAATAGCCAGAGAAAGACAAGTATCACATGGTCTCAATCATCTGTTGAATCTAATAAACAAAATAAACTGATGAAAAAAAAATAGATCCAGAGACATAGAAGCATGGAACAGACTGTGGGATCTCAGAGGGAAAGAGGGATTGCGTGGGTGAGTGGAAAGTGATCAGCCAAAGAGCTTGTATACATATATGCATAACCCATGAACACAGACAATAGTGGGTGAAGGCCTCAAGGGGGCGCTGTTGTGGGCTAGAAAGGATCAAATGGGGTGGGGGGGGAGAGGGGGACATCTGTAATACTTTCAATAATAAAAATCGAAAAAAAATTTTAGGTTGTTTAACTCCTGAGCAAACCCCATATGTATACTCAGATGCAGAAGTATAAAACAATACATAAATTGTCTACTAGAAGTTATATAAACCTTATAGCTAAATATCAGGTAAAATATTTTATTAAAAACATTAAACTGTGGGAGTATATACTTTTTCTTAAACAGTGCTGCTTTAGCAATAGCCTGCATAGATTTGAGGCCTTCAAATATATCAAGCAAACAATCAAGCAACTATTATTTGTTGAATACATATGTGCATAAGTCCAAATTGGAACCTGGAGGAATATGAATAAAATGTAAAATATTGTTTCTGCTCTTCCCTTAGATTTGTAGGCATGTCATGTGGAGTCCTCATTTAGGGGGGAGGGGGGGGAAAGCACAGTCTTGTTCATTTGAAATAAGAGACCAAATACTTTTCCTGCCCAGTTGATGAGATAAAATTACATATGAACAATGCTAGTAACATAATAAACCTAAATGCTTTATCAACTGTCAGACCAGCAAATACTATTGACATTCAGAACAAAGGTCAAAGGGAATAGAAGCAGAATCCACAAACACTTATTGCGTTCCTATCCCATAAAGCCTGTGCTTTTCTTGGTTTGGGAACACATGGAGAGAGAGATGCCTAGCTAGTTGGGCTGGTTTTGAATGATGCACTGGATTTGTCTGGAGGGAGAAAAATCATCCCATGAAAGGAAGGTGTACCACCAAACAGTGACAAAAGTGATGCCTATGTGACCTTGAAGGGGGCAGGCAATGGCTTGACTGGATTCGGTGAGCATGCTAAGGAACAGCAGGAAGGAGGCTGGATTGTAGGGTGGGGCAAGAATCCACAAGAGTAAAGGAATTTTAGTTTTCAGAAACAGCACTTTCCATCACAGAAGTCTCTCGGTTTAAGACATGACTTTGATGTATTTTTATAATTTTTAATGGGGAAACATTTACATAGCCCCTTTATAACTGCAATGTCTTACTTTTGGTTGTGATATTTGTTGTTTACTCTGCAAGTGCCCCTTGAACTTGGAGAAGAAAAGAAAAATATTGGGGTGGTTTGTGTTTTATTCAAATTATAGGAATAAAGGAGGCAGATGGTTTATCCATAGCCCTGGCAACTAGGCAAAAGGTTTCCCATGTCTCTGACTCCCTTCTATGTCCAGAGCAGAAGAGGTTGTGTTGGTTACTAGGACTTTGCAGGACTTCAGGTGATCTTCATTTCTTTTCTTTTCTTTTCTTTTCTTTCTTTCTTTCTTTCTTTCTTTCTTTCTTTCTTTCTTTCTTTCTTTCTTTCTTTCTTTTTTTTTCTTTCCGTATGGTAAGTCTATGTCTAAGGTTTTATAAAAAAATTTCTTTATTGATTAAGGTATCACATATTTGTCCTCATCCCCCCATTCCCATCCCAAGCCCTTCCCACGTATGCCCACCCCCTGTTGTCCATGACCACTGGTTAGGCTTATATTCATGCACACAAGTCCTTTGGTTGATCTCTCCCCTTTGCCCCCACCCTCCCCTTCCTTCCCTCTGAGGTTTGACAGTCTGATCGCTGCTTCTCTGTTTCCAGGTCTGTTTCTGTACATCAATTTATGTTGTTCATTATTTCCCCTAGATGCGTTAGATCATGTGATACAAAGAGGTGATCTTCAGTTCAAAGAATCTTTATTAGGTCCCACTGTGGTTAAGATATAATTTGGGAACTTCAGGATTTCCCCTCTCTAGTGATCTACCTACATAAGAGAGATTTGTGGATCGTGCTTCAGGTGGAGGGCAGTGGGTTGTATGGGAGGGGGTAGTTCCCCCTTCCTCTCTTGGTTCTTAAGACTGGCCCACCAATTAAAATGACATAAGACAGATGAACAGGAGAAAAAAAATAAAATTTAATACGCACAGGAATTCACATAAGCATGAGAATACAAAGGCAGTAAGGCAATATGAGGCATATGTGTCATTCCGGACTAAGGAGAAGAAGACAGGGGTCACAGGAAGGTGAACTACTATCTGTGGTGGTAGTTCCTTCCTAAAGCCTGGTATCAGCCTCCCATCCTAAATTCTTGTAGCATTTGGAAGGTTGAAAGTTCTTCACAGAGCTTTCTGGGCCTTAAAAATAACCAGTTTAAAATAATCAATATCACAAAGAGGCATGTTTTATGGTTGCAAACTTCTGCTTTTCAGTGTCATGGGCCTGAGAGAGCATGGTAGTGTTGGAAGAATGAAACGAAGGTGTTTTTTGTTTGTTTGTTTGTTTTTTGTTGTTTTGGTAACTAACTTTCTTCAGTGGCACTTCTATGTGGTGAAAGATGCTGGGGAAAGAGAGCAGGCCGCACAGCGGTCAGTGCAGGTTGCACTGGGCGCTGCGCAAATGGACCTCAGGCCTCAGATTCTGGTTTCGCGATGACAAGCCAACCTGGCCCGTAGGCAGCCGCCTTTCTCCTTTGTCCTCCTTGCACACTTGGCGCCTGACAAGATGCTTAACCAAATGACATAAACAACCGCTAGGAGGTATCCGAGCCGTGCATCGGCCGCCTAGGCAAGCGTACACGGCTAAGGATGGGTCCCTCCGCTCCGCGGGTCCGGGCCGGCGGCACTTTTCCAAGGTGGCGATGAACTAGTGCGCAGGGTGAGAAAGACATCTGAAAACAAGGGACCTTCCATGCAAAAGTGGAGCTGACGGCCGCGCCTCCAAAGCATCGGAGGGAGGGAGGTCTGCGGGCTCGGCCGCCAGCCGCCTGCACATCTGGATGCAGCAGAGCTCTCCCCTGCAGGGCGGCGGCGAGGCGGAGGGCCGCGATGTGCACGCACCTCCTCGGGAGCTCGCGCGCGGGCCAGGGAGCATCGGTGTGTGTCTGCGGGCACGCGCGCGCGCGCACGGTGGCGGTTGTAGCTGCGGCTCTCGGACCCTAGTACCACGGGTCGGGGCACCGGGGTGATAAATCTCCTCCTGCCTTCTCGCATCCCACTTCGGGTATATAGGCAACCAGGTAGAGAGAGGCCAGGGTGACTGTCCCTGCATACCGGCTGCGTGTCCAAGGGCCAGGTTATCAGCCCGTATCGGGCACACTGAGGAATATATATATATATATATATATATATATATATATATATATAATTTGGGGGGGTAGTGGTGTTTTTCATATATATGTATATGTGTGTATATATATATATATATATATATATATATATATTGGGGGGAGATAGTGGTGTTTTTGTTTTTTATTGTTTGCTTCTATCTCCAGAGAGCAAGGGCGGGAGAGGGGCGCGCGCCCCAGCCGCGCATCGCGCATCCGAACGGGTCGGAGCAGGCAAATTGGCAGCGGGGGAGGGAGGGGGACCTGGATTTCCACCAATCCCCGGGCGGAGTCCGGGCGCCGCGGAAGGCTGCGGCGGGCGATCTGCTGAATTCACTGATGAGAGCGAGTTCTTTTCTTCCCCGGGAGGGGCGGGGAGCGGGGGTCTCGGCCGGCGGCGAGGCGGGGGAGCCCGGGGCGGGATAGGATAGCGGTCCCGGGCCGCCGCCGCCGTGGAAATTTCCAAGGACTCGGCGGGGCGCGGAGGAGAGCGCGCTGGGAGGGCGGGGGGCGAGGGGGCGCCGGCGGCGGCGGCGCGGCGGCCGGGAGGCGGGGAGAGGCGGCGGAGGCGCAGCAGCATCTCTCGGAAGGAAGGGGACGCGGCCGCCGGGCCCGATGCCCTGGAAGGAGCCGCGCCGCCCCCCGGACCCGCGCCGCGGGCGACGGTGATGCTGCAGAGCCCGCGGGAGCCGCTGTCCGCGCGGGCGGAGGACCCAGCAGCGCCAGCCTTCTCCAGGGGGAAGCGACCATGATCGTGGCTCGTGACTTGCCGCCCGACCGCTTCCCCTAGAAAGAAATCCTTGGGAAAAAAAGTTGCATTAAAAAAAGAAAAGAAAAGAAAATCCTTAAGCTCTGACCTTTGGGGCCGTGGAGGCCGAAGAAGCGTCTGTGCAAGTGCAAGCAAGAAAGCCAAAGGTGTGTGTGCATGGGGGGCGCACTGTGCTGAGGCTCTGGTCGCCGCCCCCCTCCGCCCCTGCACCCCCCGCCCCCGGGACCCTGGGGCTGCGATGAGCCCCTGCGGGCGGGCCCGGCGGCACTCGTCCCGAGGGGCCATGGCTGTCCTGGCGTGCAAGTTCCCGCGGACCCGGCTGCCCGTGGGAGCCAGTGCCCTCTGCGTCGTGGTCCTCTGCTGGCTCTACATCTTCCCGGTCTACCGGCTGCCCAACGAGAAGGAGATCGTGCAGGCGGTGCTGCAGCAGGGCACGGCGTGGAGGAGGAACCAGACAGCGGCCAGACTTTTCAGGTAACTCCTGCCCTCCCGGACCTTCCCGGATCGTGTCCTTTCCTCCCGGTGCGCGGAGAACAGGGTCACTGGCGAGGACCGCCTCGCAGAGGCATCCCTCTCATCCCAGTCCTTCCTTCCTTCCTTCCCATCCCTAACCTTGGACCCTTTAGTCAGGAGCTCTGACCACCCTTGACCTCCAAAAATAGGCAGACACCTGCTTTGCCTGTACGCATTTCTGCCCAAGTCTGATGTGTAGTCTACGGTTTGGTGATACCTGGAGGGAAGGAGGGACCCGGGCGAACTTTGTGTCTTGCCCTTAATTAGAATACCTCTCTTGCGCTCTGCAGACATCTGAAGCTATAGAGAACTAGAAGCAGGTAGGCTCTGTTTTTAATGAGGCGAGGTGAATGGTTGGCAACAGAAATCACTGATTGAAGGAGTGGTGGCCAAAGCTTGGGCAGTGCGAACATGCCCACGCAGCCAGGACCCCGTGACTTTGTGCAGCATGCCTATCACAAACAGGGCACTTCCTGAGGCCCTACTAAGAGCCGGGACTGTGTGATTTTGAATGGTAAAGTCTCAGTAATTTTCCAATAACAGCTATTACCCCCAGCTTACTAACCACAAACCGAGTCTTGAGGATGATCTTTCTCCAAGGTCAGCTACCTTGGGAGTGCCCCTGCTGGGCACTTCATCACAAAAGCTCTACAGCTCCCAGATCTTTCTCTGGGCTTAGCCTGGGGAAGCCTTCTGAAGGACGGGAGATTGCTTTAGGGAGGGGCTTGACCTCAGAAAACAGACCGAAGAAAAAACTAACAAATTATAACCAGATTGGGATACCAGAACTCTGAGGATCCCTCAGAGGTTGTAGTTTTCTTCCGTTCTGGGGATTGCAGCTTAAGAGTCTAAAAATAAGTTCTTGGCAACGGGGGCTGCCTGTGGATTGGAGGGAAGACAGGACTGCTTTCCACTTCCCTTCCGTTCCCCAGGACATAATGGAGGACACAGGGGTGCTCCCCCCCACCCCACCCCCTGGCAGGTGCCCCTTTCACCTTCAGTCCCTGGGGGGCTGGGGCTGAGGATGCTGTGGCCAGCGCTTCCGCTGACTGTTGTGGTCTGGATGGGGAGTGCTTTCCTCTGCTCCAGCAGGACCTTTCAGGCAGTTCATGGGCAGGTGAGAGCCAATTTAAACATTTGTCACAACTGTGCCAAATGTTCAGAAACATCTACAAATTTTTTTTTTTTTAAAAAAAAGCACTTTAAAAATATACGGTTTCCTCCCTCATCTCAGGCCTGGTTTTGGAAAGAAGGTCAAAGAATTAGGCAATTCTTTCAGGGAAGGATGTTAAGTTTTCCTTTACACTGGGAAGGGAAGACTTTTTTTCTCTTCTCTGTTTAGACTTCATTAAGTTTAAAATCATGCCTCTCCCAGTTGGTCCGAAGGTTGTGGGTTATTGTTAAGCTGATTAAAATCATGCCTCTCCCTTAAAAGGGTATGAGGATTTATCTTCCCTCACCTCCACAGTATTGTTTGTTGGGCTCAAGAGCACTCAAAAGGATAGCACCCAGCAATTCTTTTCTCTAAAGACAGAAAGCCTTTCATGTAATAAAAGGAAATGAGTTAAGTGCATCTCATTGGTTTGCAATGAAAGAGTGCATTTTTTTTTGGGGGGGGGGTGTAGGAGGAGGAATAATGAAGCTCCATTAGAGAATAGATTTCTTTTGGAAAACATAATCAAGTGGAAAATACTTCATATTCTGAGACATACAGGCTGATAGTTTTCTTAGATACATTTGCCCCTTGCTGTCTGTAGCCTGGAGTAATCTTTGGTTGTTAGGCTGTCATTTGGTCTTGTCTCTATGCGCAGAGAATCACTACTGAAATGCATACACCGTACAAACTGCCTAAACACGTATCCCTCCAAGATAGTGCTGTAAAATGGTCTAAGGGGCACCACTCCTTATTGAAAAGCATGTGTGCTTCAGAGGAGAAGCCTGGATTTTTAGACTGACCGTGCCATGATTAGATAAACAGCAGAGGGTTTTTGTTAAGTTACTCTATCTCTTGGAGTCTCAGTTTCCTTATTTATAAATGAGATAATAACATACCTAGTTGGTATAAGGTTTAAATAAAAAAAAACCTGATGATAAATAGCAGTCCATAGTGCTATAATTTTTATAAATGATATATGTTATACAATATGTTACAGCTTAAATAAAAACAGCTTGCCAGCCTATATGAATCTGGAATATTTCACCTGCCAAATTTGTAAAGAAACTCTATTGGTCCATATTCTACGCACACTCCCTTCCACCCCTTACATTTAAGTGAATAAGCAGGTACAAGGAGTTTTAAACAATAGTAAAAGTATCATGGTGTAAGTTAAATTGTTTTTTACTCTCACGTTTGCGAAAATTCATTGTGTGTGCGTGTGCATGTGCGTGTGTGTGTGTGTGTGTGTGTGTGTATTTTACCACCTGGATTTTTAGTATGCAAGAAGTAGTGTATGTTTTCTAAATATTAGAATGTTAGAGGTGGTTTCTGTGCACCCAGTTCTTGCCTTGCTTGTAGGAAGGAATTCAAACAAGAGACAGTACCAAATAGCAAAGCATGCAAGAGTTTACTTGAAAGAAAAAGAAATACACCGAGACATACACAGGGCAGGTTAGCTGGTTGACGCAGAACCAAGTGCCCTGCTCCTTTGAACATTTAAAATTTTATACCCTGGAGTTGGATTGTGGAAAAAGAAAAGAAAAACACCTTCTCAGGTTTCAAAGCTACCTCGATGTTACTCTCTGTTAGACCACATCCTGGAGGAGGTTTCAAGTCTTCAGCTTCCTCACTCTTGGGTCTGCGGAGCATAACTCTTCATTCTTGTGTAAGCACCTCCCATGCCTTCCCCTTGATTTTAGCCACCTATCCCCATTCATGTCTGTCTGGCTGCTAACATTCCGCCCTTCGAGTGATATCGGTCAAATTCGCTTGGGAAGTTGAGGGACGGTAGTCTGGCTTCTGACTCTACTTCCGCTGAATAGGACATGGAGCTGTGTTGGCGCGCTGTCCCTTGCTCTGTCTGGGGTGGCTAGATTGGGGTGGAGGGCCAGTGACCTGTAGCCCAGTCCAATGGATTTTGATGTATGAGCTGATAGCCTTATTGATGTATTGCCTGTATTTGGGAGGGAAGAAAAGTTGTTAGTTTGTTCATTATGCAGGGACGAAGGTGCAGAGAAGTATGAGAGTTATTAGTCGATCTAACAAGGGTAAGAACCAAGTTAAATTGGGAAATGCCTGCTTAATTGTTTTCCACATAGTATCTTTCATGCCTTCTAGATTAAAATCCCCTAGCCAAGTGGCATGTTTTAAAATGGCCTGAACGTCTGCTTCAGTTTGGCCAGTTGTATTGATGTAAAAACAGCACGGAGTGTTTGCTAGGGTACATACCCTTCCTTGGGAAGCTAATAAGTAATCTATGTGGTTATCAGTGACCATCTTGGCTATTGAATTTACTGATTGGAATAATTATCCTAAGTCTCTGCCATTAGTAGTAGCAATCGTGGTCATTGAAGCAGGGATATTTTAGGCTGGTACAGCATTGTAGGTAATGCTCCCTGCTAGCCTAATTAGGCTTCCAATTATGGCTGCTAGGCCTAGAACAAGTAAATCTCTGGCCCTTTCGCACCTTCTGTGAGGACAATAATTCTGAACAGCTTGCTCTGGGGATGTGGTGTAGCCTGTTGTCCCTGTTCCTGTGTCTGTAGACGGATTAATGTATTGTTGAGCTATTCCACTTTGGGGTGTTTGTCCTAGGAACCTAAGTCCTTTGGGTGAGCAAAGACATCCATTAGCATCATTAGGTTTAGTGGGGTCTAGGGAGATATGATTCAATCAATTAGTGATTGATGGCAATGCCGGTGTATTGCATCCAGGGTAGTGTCTTCTTGCTCTTCCCTTAGATGGCAAAAGAATGGCTCTGTTGCAGTTTTGTATAGTCTGTATCTGAAAAGTTGTATTGCAGGTACTAGAGCTATTTAGGGATTGGAAGGTATCGTTAGTACCATTTGGTTCTGCTTTAACAAGGGATCCGTTGCAAATACCTGCTGATGTGTGTGTGTGTGTGTGTGTGTGTGTGCCATTTTTATAACAGCAGGTAGCACTTCGGGTTGTGCTACAATTCTAGGAGGTTTTGTTTTCTGTCTGAGAATTTTAAAGTGAGTCCATCCTGGTCACAATGAAAAACACTTCTGTCTGCCCGATGGGAGAAATTCTTGTTAAGCTTTGTATAGAATATGGTAGTCAAGGGTTGAAAAATCTAAGGTATTACAGTAAGTTTTGGAGTAATTAAAAAAGTTGGGTTGTGCCTAGACAAGTTAAACCTGATAGGGTCCATGGGATAGGATAAGAATTGGCCAGGAGTCCCACTGGAGCATGGTCAATCCTTGTTCTGTGGCAGATCCAACAGACTTCAGTTATATTGGGAGCCTGTAAAGTTAGCCCTTGAGTAAAATAAGAAATAGCTCTTGTTTCTCCAGCCTAGGCCTAGCACATGTGTAAAGGTTAGAGGTAATAATAGGAATTTATTCATTGTGTATGATTATAGAAAACACCAAAACAAGCTTTAAATGGTGTGTCTGGAAGTGCACAGGCAAATGAGCAAATAAGGAAAAAAGTTATATAGAAGAGCGGTTCTGAAAAAGGAGGCATTCCAAGACAACAAAAGAGCAAAAGACCAATTCAAAAGAACATTAAGAAATTTGTAAATAACAGTATAAATTGAGATGTAGGTGATTGGGAACTACTACCTCATTGGTTTTTTGCAGATCTCAAACAAGTCTGTTCAGCTTGTGTGTTGCCTGACAATGTTGGGAATATATGTGTGTGTGTGTGTTTTTTAATTAATTTTTTTGTTGAGATTATTACAGAGTCCAGTGGCTCAGTCTTCCCAATCACCTGAGTTGGACACACTTGATGCACCTCTTTGTGAGCTGTGTGCACAATCTTGTAGTTGAGCCTTGATTGC